GTGTTAGTAACGGTGCAACGATTCAATTTTTTTCATGTTTTGTTTGACGAGGCGTAGAGCAAAAGCGACGGGGTTTTATTTTTTTTCCTTTCGAGTAAATTTAAGTGTCGACTCCTGTTTGACTGTTTGTGTTACCGGAAACAAAAAAAGCTCGTCAGGATTTCTGGAGATCGGACCCGTGTTTTCCCGATCGCTCTAATGAATTCATTGACACCTGCCACGGTGGGTGCGTTCTGACGGCCGGTGAATGGACGGTTGGGAAGTTGACGGCGGTGAATGGACGGTTTGAAGTTAAAGGCCAAAGAATGGACGGTCGGAAGTTTGTGGTAAGAGAATGGACGGTCTAGAAGTTAACGGCCAAATTATGGACGGTCGGAAGTTAACGGCTAGCCGCTAGAGAATGGACGGCAGGAAGTTGCGGCCAGATAATGGACGGTCAGAAAGTTGACGGAAAGAGAATAAACGGTCAGGAAGTTGACAAGAAGAGAGTGGACGGTAAGGAAGTTGGTGGTAAAAGAATGGACGGTCTAGAAGTCAACGGCCATGAAGTTGACGGCCAAGGAATTGGTGTCTCTAATATATTGCGCAAACGACAAGAGAATAGACGGTATAAAAATAGATGGTCAAAACATGTTTGTTCACGTGACCGGTGCCGATACGACTGACGGTCATGAAACTGTTGGCCATACATCTGACTGCCATGAAACTGATGGCCATATAACTGACGGCCATGAAACTGGTGGCCATACATCTGACGGCCATAGTAATCAATGACCAGAAAATAGTGAAATGGACGGTTAGGAGTATACGGCCAAAACAATACCCACCCCCACCCCTCTTCCTGGAGAATGGACGGTCAAAGAATCGCTGTCCAAAATATTGACGGCTGTCGGCGAGACAAAGGGTGTGTACACATATGCCCACAGACTGCACTAGCCGTCAAGTATGTCTACTTGAATCTACTTGAATCTACTTGAGTCTACTGGAGTCTACTTTAGTTAATACACACCTGGACTATTTAGACGTAAAACAAAATTGACTTTAGCGGCACATCAAAGCAAGTGGGCGTTGACGGGTGGCTTTATTATTTTAAGTCAAGATGGCCGACACGGTGACCTTTGAGAAGTGACTGATCATAAAAAAAAAGCATATGGGGGGATGGGGGAGATATAGCATAAAGGTGCCCTTAATATGTAATGGTCCTATCATGGTGGGGGGGGGGGGGGGATCGTTAATGGCGATAATAGGGGTGGAGAGAGGAGGGGTGGACCACACAAGGTGACACCCGACCTAGTGAAGCCACTGACTTCTGCTTGTGGCTGGAACATTCTATAAAAATGTATTGAACATACGTTCATTGTTTCAATACATATTCAATATACATCTCTTTATCTAAATATTTATTTTAAACATAGTCACCTTCAAAAGCTAACAATTGAATGAAAGGATAGAAAAGCTTGAAACGGTCAGGACTATGGTTACAGAGATAACTAGTGATATTGGCTGAATAACATTCTCTTTCATATAAACCAATAAAAATCCCTTACAAAGCAACAACAACAACAACACAACAATAAATAAATAAAGTAACAACAGGTATACTGGATTTTTTTTTGTTAAAAAAAAACACCCAATTTACCTTCATCATGCTTTCGTTAACTCTGGAATAAAACCCAACTGTTGTAATAAAATAAAATTTCCTTTCTTTTTCTTTTTGAGAAGAGAAGATGTCATCATCACGAGGCAAGCGTTGGACTGGAACCCCCAGGGGAAAAGTAGACCTGTCCTAAGCAATCCTGGTGAGAAGAACATTGGAAGGAGATGCAAGGGTTGCTGGTATTACATGGGCTGAACTAAAGAGAGCTGCCCCAAACAGAGACTCCGGTGGAGAGGCATAGCTGCAGCCTATTTTTCATCATGGGCTGCATAGGAAAAAAAAATCAAGCTATTGTATAAACATTATTTTTTTTTATAAAAAAAAAAAAAAAAGATTATCAGTGGCGTAGAATCAGTAAAGAATAATAAGAATAACACACTTATGCTCTTATCAATAAATCAAAACATTTCATGAGATTTACAACACACAAACGAACGCAGCAAAAACACATCCCTATGTAACTATCTATATTTTTAAATAAAAATAAAAAAAACTAAACCTTCTCTTAAATAGGACAAATCTTAATTAGATGTGTTAGGTCCTCACAATTTTAATTACCAACTGGCAAAGCAACACTTAAAACACGACTGATGGCAGCCTGATTTGTCCTACCGTCGAAAACTCTGTGTACAATGTAGACTCCCGATTTGACGGGGGATGAATCTAAACCACACGCCTCCATATAAAAAAAGCCATTGTTCGTCCCTCAACTTCAAAGCCGCTTGAAAAAATTTAACTCCAATCTCATCACGTGATCACCGTAAGCATATCAGCACGGCAACAAACACCGCACAACAGAAATGATTTTTTTTTTAAAATCCTCCGTACGATTAATCTTTGATCCCATTAGGGTTAATCCCCCGTCAAGGGAGATCAGTCGCTTCTTGTCAAAAGAATGGGGGAAGGGGGATAATTCGTCCTTCATGGCAAAACTGAGCTATTGACATGAAGGGTGCTAGGGTTTATTGACTGCATGCGTCTTTGATGGCTTTTCAAATCACACCTCTTGTGTTGACCGGCAGGGACTGGGGTCCGGTTTTAATGGGGGGGGGGGGGGTGGGGGGGATATGAAGACCTGCTTGGCCAGGGGATCAAGTGGCGTGTCCATCCAGTGGGGGTGGGGTAGATAGAGCCGTGGGTCAAAGCAGGGGTCTGGGGCTGATAGAGACGCAGGTCAAATCAGGGGGTCTGTGACTGAGGGGGACGCAGGTCAAAGCGTTTCCAAAGTTTATTAATTTTAATAAGGAAAACAGACAGACGTTGCCCTTTGAACATCGGGGAGTGTAAAGGAAAACTGATTAATTTTTGGAAAAAAAAAGGTTGTAGACTGAAGGTAGATACATGAGAGATGGGCGTCACCAGGGTGGGGCTAGGAGGTAGGACACCCCTGGGCTCATTTGAGGCATCAGGGGTAGGAAGTTTTAAAAAAAAACTGATTAATTTTTGGGAAAGAAAGGTTGTAGACTGAAGGTAGATACATGAGAGATTGGGGTCATGAGGTTGGGGCTCGGGGGTAAGACCCCCCTCCTGGGGGTCATTAGAGACAAATGTACCATGGGGGACGTACATTTATTTTCAGCTTTACGGCAGAAATGCTCAGTCTTAAAGGATGTGTAATTCTTTGAACACTGCCTTGTATTCTTTGAGCACTGCCTTGTATCAAAGTTAGGTTTTGTTAGCACCCTAACCCTGGCTATAACCTTAACCCTTGTCGTGACAAAAAAAAAAACATTATAAAATCTCGATATAACGCTACATTATCAGAGCGGTTCTCAAATATAGGGTAAACTCAGCATTCTTTGTTGCATTTATTATTTGAAAATTAATATTTATTTAGTGTTTTACATTTTTTTTTTCATTTTCTTTTAGGATAAATATTTTAACATTTTTTAATAAACTAAAAAATAAATAATTAAAGATGTATATTTTTTATTTTACTTTGTCAGGAGAAGGAAGTCTTCGAATTCTATTTCTAGAAGCTATTCTATGGATTATTTTGCTAACAAACAATACTGTGTTTATTATTGCAAATAATAGCCCGTTGACGTCATTGAAATGAGTGTTTTAGTGCGGAGCTACAATTGTGCACATATTTTGGAAAGAATCTTCTGCTGGTCCTATGTGTTGGGTAGTGAAGTAAGGTAAGATTATGTAGACAACAAAAACAGTCATATGCTTCTTTCGTTTGTTAGTTTATTGGGACTTCTGTTTTATTATGATTTTTAACGTTTTAAAAATCCCAATACAACTAATTACACACATTCAAATGAAAAAGCCACGTCCAAGATCTCCTACTTTCATCAGTGGATGCTTAGATTTGGCTTCAAAACTTCAGCTGGGAATGTTGATGTTTTTTGTTGTCTGTCTTTTTTGTATGGTCAATCCAACAATTAAAATTATCAATAACCCTAACATAAATAATTAAACAAAAAATGTTCTATAATTCCCTCATCCCCACATTAACAGTTCGCTTACACTATCCCTATCCCTATCCCTGACCCTATCCCTATCCCTGACCCTCAGTGTTTCTTCCAGACTTTTTTCACGGGGGGGGGGGGGGGGGTTACACTTGAAACGTTGAAACTCTCGGGTAAAGGCGGACTAAATTTTCCGGTGTGGGGGGTGGGGGGCGCTGGTAAAAGTATACATCTCAATTCTATTTCGTTCGGTGGGTAGGGGGTGGGGGCGGTAGACGTTCTTCGAAGAGATGCCTGGAAGAAACTACCTTGACCTGAACATAACCGTGACCCTAACCCAGACCCTAACCCTAAACATGACCCTGACCCTAGTATACACCATAACTAATTATCACAATATAACCAAAAACCTAACCCTCAGGAATAATATAGCTGAAGCCAACCGTTATCATTTTTTTTAGAACGGATTGACAATTCCCTGTCTCTTTAACACACTCTTTCTCTCACTCTTTCACAGTCTCACTCTCTCTCCTTCTACCTCTCACCCACACCACTTTTTCTCCATCTTCCACACTCTCACACTGTCTCTCTCTTATTCTCTCTCTCATTCTCTCTCTCTATCACAGATTCATTTCTCTCTCATCTGTGGCACTAATTTAACATTGTATTGACTGCTCTTATTTGTATGATTCCAGGGATATATGTGTCAGAGAGCCAATCGCGTCTAACCAATTGGCATGTAGGTCATTTACACCTGAACTTAGAACCTGTAGGTCACTATCACCTGACCTTGGAACCTGTAGGTCACTCACGCCTGACCTTAGAACCCGTAGGTCACTCACATCTGACCTTAGAACCCGTAGGTCACTCACATCTGACCTTAGAACCCGTAGGTCACTCACATCTGACCTTAGAACCTGTAGGTCACTCACGCTTGACCTTAGAACCTGTAGGTCACTCACACCTGACCTTAGAACCTGTAGGTCACTCACATCTGACCTTGGAACCTGTAGGTCACTCACACCTGACCTTGGAACCTGTAGGTCACTCACACCTGACCTTAGAACCTGTAGGTCACTCACACCTGACCTTAGAACCTGTAGGTCATTCACACCTGACCTTTGAACCTCTAGGTCCTGCACATGTCATGCACCTCATCCTAGGACCTACCTGCGTGTCGTCCTACCAGCCTCAACCATCAGTTTAACCACCAGTTTAACCATCAGTTTAACCACCAGTTAACAACGAATGACAAAATACAGCACCACAAGTTTACAGTACTACTCGTTAATAATTAGCTAACAGTACCATCAATTAGCAGTACCACTAGTTAACCGTATAATTAGTTAACGACAACAAAACACAGTACCATTAATCATTTGAAAAGTCCAGTACTGACCACTATGGCAAGGGACACAATCGACTTCAATCTTCCGAATAGCTTCGATGGATAAATGCTCCTCACCCCCCTCTGTTTAGTGGCGAGATTGGATATAGAAGGATACTTGAAATTATTTCCATACCGGTGAAGTATACCTTACCACAACTTCTTTCAACTTGACAATGAAACAGATTCTTGATGAAAAACAACTTTAACCAACGAACCAGATTTTAATGATAATCAACTTCCGGTAAAGCTCAGATATCTTCATCATCAGGCCGGCATTATGAAATCTGAGGTCCATTTCAGTGAAACAACATCGAAGCTCTGCAATGCCGTGAGAAAAGCCGTGAAGCCGGCACTCCGGCTGAAGAAATTCAAAGCCCGTGTCGACCGGACGACCGAGGTGCTGAAGAACCGGTTCGCGGACAACTTGAGCAAAGAGCAGGAGCAGTTTTTGAAGAATACGGCGAAACTGTTGATGGAGCCGGGCAAGGGGATATTGTCTGGTGAGCGGTGTGTGTGTGGGGGGGGGGGGGGGTTTGTCAAGTCAGTGTGTATGTGTGTGTGGGGGGGGGGGGGGTTGTCAAGTCAGTGTGTGTGGGGGGGGGGGGGTCATGTCTTGTGAGTAGAAGTGGGAATTCTAGTCAAGTGAGAGGGTTCTTGATAAGTGAGATGAGAGGTGGGGGGGTTGTCTAGTAAGTGGGGGGTCTTGTCAAGTAAGTGGGGGGGGGGGGTCTTGTCAGGTGAGTTAATAGGGGGGTGTTGTCAGATGATTGTAGGGGTCTTGTCACTGAGTGTGGGGCGGGAGGGGGGGTCTTGTCAAGTAAGTGGGGGGGGGGGGTCTTGTCAAGTAAGTGGGGGGGGGTGTCTTGTCAAGTAAGTGGGGGGGGGGTCTTGTCAAGTAAGTGGGGGGGGGTCTTGTCAAGTAAGTGGGGGGTCTTGTCAAGTAAGTGGGGTGGGGGTCTTGTCAGATGAGTTGATATGGGGGGTCTTGTCAGGTGATCGTGGGAGTCTTGTCAGTTGAGTGATTTGGAGGGGGGGGGGGGGTCATGTCATTGTGTGTTTGGATGGGGGAGGTTTCTCATCAGACAAAGAAAAAAAACATCAAGCAGATAGTTTTTTTGTTTCCTCTATCAGCTGATGACTCAGTTCGACAACTGGACATGAAGCTCAAGGCTATCAACCTGGAGCCCTGGGAACAACACAGGTAACATTGTAACACTTTAAACACAGGTAACATTGTAACACTTTAAACACAGGTAAAATATTGTCAACACAGGTAACATTGTCACACTTTAAACACAGGTAACATGGTCACACTTTAAACACAGGTAAAATATTGTCAACACAGGTAACATGAACACACTTTAAACACAGGTAAAATATTGTCAACACAGGTAACATTGTCACACTTTAAACACAGGTAAAATATTGTCAACACAGGTAACATGAACACAATTTAAACACAGGTAACATTGTAACACTTTAAACACAGGTAACATTGTAACACTTTAAACACAGGTAACATTGTAACACTTTAAACACAGGTAACATTGTAACACTTTAAACACAGGTAACATTGTAACACTTTAAACACAGGTAAAATATTGTCACACATTGAACACAGGCAAAATATTGTCAACACAGGTAACATTGTCACACTTTAAACACTGGTAAATCATCTTCATAACCTTACCTATCTGTCATGTTTAACACACCTACCCTACAAGTTTAATGTATCATGCCAAGCCTACCTACCTATCACGTGAAACTTACCTGCCTGTGTTAAACTATCAAGTTAGATTTACCTACCTGTCACGAAATTTACCTACCTGTCACGAAATTTACATACCTGTCACGAAATTTACCTACCTGTCACGAAATTTACCTACCTGTCACGAAATTTACCTACCTCTCACGACATTTACCTTACTTGTCACGAAAGTTACCAACCTGTCACGAAATTTACATACCTGTCACGAAATTTACCTACCTGTCACAAAATTTACATACCTGTCACGAAATTTACCTACCTCTCACGACATTTACCTTACTTGTCACGAAAGTTACCTACCTGTCACGAAATTTACCTACCTGTCACGAAATTTACCTACCTGTCACAAAATTTACATACCTGTCACGAAATTTACCTACCTCTCACGACATTTACCTTACTTGTCACGAAAGTTACCAACCTGTCACGAAATTTACCTACCTGTCACAAAATTTACATACCTGTCACGAAATTTACCTACATGTCACGAAATTTACCTACCTGTCACAAAATTTACATACCTGTCACAAAATTTACCTACCTGTCACGAAATTAAACTACCTGTCACGAAATTAAACTACCTGTCACGAAATTTACCTACCTGTCACGAAATTAAACTACCTGTCACGAAATTAAACTACCTGTCACGAAATTAAACTACCTGTCAAGAAATTTACCTACCTGTCCCATTAAACTGACCTCTCTGCCAGACGACGCTACAACGAGATGCTCCTGAGTATGGGGATGCAGGTCAACTACTACCTGAGCGGGGTGCTCATGAAGGAGGACGTGGTCACACAGAAGGCCTACAGGGGCAAGAGGCTGACGGCCATGTTGAAGGAGGCCAACATTAAACTGGGGATTAGGGTAGGGGTCAACATTAAACTTGGGATTAGGGTACGGGCCAACATCAAACTGGGGATTAGGGTACGGGCCAACATCAAACTGGGGATTAGGGTACGGGCCAACATCAAACTGGGGATTAGGGTACGGGCCAACATCAAATTGGGGATTAGGGTAGGGGCCAACATTAAACTTGGGATTAGGGTACGGGCCAACATCAAACTGGGGATTAGGGTAGGGGCCAACATTAAACTTGGGATTAGGGTACGGGCCAACATCAAACTGGGGATTAGGGTACGGGCCAACATCAAATTGGGGATTAGGGTAGGGGCCAACATTAAACTTGGGATTAGGGTACGGGCCAACATCAAACTGGGGATTAGGGTAGGGGCCAACATTAAACTTGGGATTAGGGTACGGGCCAACATCAAACTGGGGATTAGGGTAGGGGTCAACATATGCATCGGGATTAAGGTAGGGGCCAACATCAAACTTGGGATTAGGGTAGGGGCCAACATCAAACTGGGGATTAGGGTACGGGCCAACATCAAACTGGGGATTAGGGTAGGGGCCAACATCAAACTGGGGATTAGGGTACGGGCCATCATCAAACTGGGGATTAGGGTACGGGCCAACATGAAACTGGGGATTAGGGTACGGGCCAACATCAAACTGGGGATTAGGGTAGGGGTCAACATATGCATCGGGATTAAGGTAGGGGCCAACATTAAACTGGGGATTAGGGTAGGGGCCAACATATAAATGGGGATTAGGGTAGGGGCCAACATATAAATGGGGATTAGGGTAGGGGCCAACATATAAATGGGGATTAGGGTAGGGGCCAACATATAAATGGGGATTAGGGTCGGGGCCAACATTAAACTGTGGATTATGGTAGGGGCCAACATTAAACTGGTGATTAGGGTAGTGGCCAACATTAAACTGGTGATTAGGGTAGTGGCCAACATCAAATTGGGGTTTAGGGTAGGGGCCAACATCAAACTGGGGATTAGGGTAGGGGCCAACATCAAACTGGGGATTAGGGTAGGGGCCAACATCAAACTGGGGATTAGGGTAGGGGCCAACATCAAACTGGGGATTAGGGTAGGGGCCAACATAAAACTGGGGATTAGGGTAGGGGCCAACATCAAACTGGGGATTAGGGTTCTACAGTACAAGTAAAATTAATGTTTCTCCACCCCTCCCCCTTTTCGGACTCTGCAGGCAGACAAAGGTCTGGTGCCCATTGCTGGAACCGCCAACGAATGGACATCGACCGGGTATGACGGGCTGGAGGATGCCTGCAAGCGGTTCAAGGATCTGGGGGCCGTCTTCACACTCTGGCGGTGCGTCTATACCATCGGACCCCACACCCCATCCCGACTGGTAGGTCTACACCATCGGACCCCACACCCCATCCCTAATGTCTACACCATAGGACCCCACACCCCATCCCGACTGGTAGGTCTACACCATCGGACCCCACACCCCATCCCTAATGTCTACACCATAGGACCCCACACCCCATCCCGACTGGTAGGTCTACACCATCGGACCCCACACCCCATCCCTAATGTCTACACCATAGGACCCCACACCCCATCCCGACTGGTAGGTCTACATCATGGGACCCCACATCCCATACCTACTATCTACATCATGGGACCCCACACCCCATTCCTAATGTCTACACCATCGGACCCCACACCCCATCCCGACTGGTAGGTCTACACCATCGGACCCCACACCCCATCCCTACTGTCTACACTATCGGACCCCACACCCCATCCCTACTGTCTACACCATCGGACCCCACACCCCATCCCGACTGGTAGGTCTACACCATCGGACCCCACACCCCATCCCTACTGTCTACACTATCGGACCCCACACCCCATCCCACGCAAACTCGGTTAATGGGATTTAGGTTAGTTGAGGCCAACTGTTTTTAAAGACGTCTTGCTTTCAAACGACTGATCTAGCAGTAGGTCCAATATTAGACACAACTGGTGTGGGTGGGGGAGATTGCATATAACCAAGGGCTTCAAAGAGTGCATGTTTGCCCAACCTCTAACTTTGACACCATAGCCACAAACACGAAACGTACACACTCATCAATATCCACCACTAAAAAAATAAACAATTTTTTTTTTCCGAGTACGAAAATTGACCATGAAACCATATCACCACCCACAAACACAAACTACTTATTTTTTTTTAAATTTGAACTTTTTTTTTGCCCCCCCCCCCTCCCCCCGATGTACCCAGGCTTTGGTGGAGAACAGCAACACCCTGGCCAGGTACGCCGTCGTGAGCCAGAGGGTGGGGCTGGTGCCCATCGTCTCCCCCGAGATGCATCTGGCAGACGATCACAGCCAGCAGACGGCCCAGCACGTGCTGAGGGACATCTTGTCCAACCTGGTCATCGCCCTGTACCATCACCAGGTCTACATGGAGGTGAGGGTCAACGCAGGGGAGGGGGGGAGTTCATGGGGTGGGGGGACTAAGGGTGGATTTTTGGGGGGTGCTGGGAACGAATATATATTAGGGTATGTAAATCCTGTCTAACCTGGTCGTCGCTCTCTACCATCACCAGGTCTACATGAGGCCAACGCAGGGGGTGGGGGTGGGGGGAGTCAGAGGCGTAGCGAGGGGGGTACATATGTCCCCGGGCGCCGACCTTACGGGGGGGCCAAAATGGGTTGTAAAAACAAATTAAAATCTCATTTTAGCTACAGTTTTGCATTATAAATATTAAAAATTTAAGGGGGGGGGTGCAAATTGAAAGTTTGAGGGGGGATGCAAATGGAAAATTGAAAGTTTGTTCCCGGGCGCCGGGAAGGGTCGCTACGCCTCTGGGGGGGAGTTCATGTAGATTTTGTGGGGGTGCTGGGAACGAATATATATTAGGGTAAAGTAATAGTTAAGTTCCCGTTTGAACCTTACTGTCTGTGTGTCAAGTGAAGTAGAGTTCACCTGTTTCTGTGACTTCGGAATATGAAGGGATGGTGTGGTTAGCACTATGCTAAGTCGCCTTTACTTTTACTAACATGAGTCAGGTACCCATCAGGGCTGTGGATGACTAGTTAACACAAACAAAATGATGTAGAAAAACTGATCCAAATAATAGAGATATAACGGTCGGAATACAGAATGTTTGTAGAGAGTGACGTCATTGTGTCATGTGTCCTCAGGGCGTCATCATCCGTATCACAGCGGCCATGCCGGGCAGGAAGTGCCCCAAGTCGTGCTTGTTCACCAGCGTCGGTGAGGGCACGCTGAAGATCGTCAATGAGTGCATTCCTCCAGCTATTGGTGGGGTGAGTACACCAACCCCCGGGCTTTCGGTAGGGTGTGTAGAACGACCCCCGGGCTGTTGGTGGGGGCGACGATGATAAGTGTGGATGCGTGTATCTCCGTGTGTGTATCTATGCGTGTCTGCGTGTTGGTGTTTGTAAGAACAGCCTGCTTTTGTGTATATATGAGTACAGTCTGATGCTGTGTATATGGGTACAGCCAGCTGTTGTGTAGAATACAGCCTGCTGTTGTGTAGAGTACAGCCTGCTGTTGTGTATAGTTCAGCCTGCTGTTGTGTATAGTTCAGCCTGCTGTTGTGTATAGTTCAGCCTGCTGTTGTGTAGAGTTCAGCCTGCTGTTGTGTAGAGTACAGCCTGCTGTTGTGTAGAATACAGCCTGCTGTTGTGTAGAATACAGCCTGCTGTTGTGTAGAGTTCAGCCTGCTATTGTGTAGAGTTCAGCCTGCTGTTGTGTGTGTGTGTGTGAATACAGCCTGCTGTTGTGTAAAATAGAGCCTGCTCTTGTGTAGAGTACAGCCTACTGTTGTGTGTGTGAATACAGCCTGCTGTTGTGTATATGGGTACAGCCTGTTGTGTGTGTATTAATACAGCCTGCTGTTGTGTATATGGGTACAGCCTGCTGTTGTGTGTATGAATATAGCCTACTGTTGTGTGTATGAATACAGCCTGCTGTTGTGTGTATGAATACAGCCTGCTGTTGTGTATATGGGTACAGCCTGCTGTTGTGTATATGGGTACAGCCTGCTGTTGTGTGTATGAATACAGCCTGCTGTTGTGTGTATGAATACAGCCTGCTGTTGTGTATATGGGCACAGCCTGTTGTGTGTGTATGAATACAGCCTACTGTTGTGTGTATAAATACAGCCTGCTGTTGTGTATATGGGTACAGCCTGTTGTGTGTGTATGAATACAGCCTGCTGTTGTGTATATGGGTACAGCCTGCTGTTGTGTGTATGAATACAGCCTGCTGTTGTGTGTATGAATACAGCCTGCTGTTGTGTATATGGGTACAGCCTGTTTTGTGTGTATGAATACAGCCTGCTGTTGTGTGTATGACAACAGCCTGCTGTTGTGTATATGAATACAGCCTGCTGTTGTGTAGAGTACAGCCTGCTGTTGTGTAGAGTACAGCCTGCTGTTGTGTAGAGTACAGCCTGTTGTGTTTGAATACAGCCTGCTGTCGTGTAGAGTACAGCCTGCTGTTGTGTGTGTGAATACAGCCTGCTGTTGTGTAGAGTACAGCCTGCTGTTGTGTAGAGTTCAGCCTGCTGTTGTGTAGAGTACAGCCTGCTGTTGTGTAGAATACAGCCTGCTGTTGTGTAGAATACAGCCTGCTGTTGTGTAGAGTTCAGCCTGCTATTGTGTAGAGTTCAGCCTGCTGTTGTGTGTGTGTGTGTGAATACAGCCTGCTGTTGTGTAAAATAGAGCCTGCTCTTGTGTAGAGTACAGCCTACTGTTGTGTGTGTGAATACAGCCTGCTGTTGTGTATATGGGTACAGCCTGTTGTGTGTGTATTAATACAGCCTGCTGTTGTGTATATGGGTACAGCCTGCTGTTGTGTGTATGAATATAGCCTACTGTTGTGTGTATGAATACAGCCTGCTGTTGTGTGTATGAATACAGCCTGCTGTTGTGTATATGGGTACAGCCTGCTGTTGTGTATATGGGTACAGCCTGCTGTTGTGTGTATGAATACAGCCTGCTGTTGTGTGTATGAATACAGCCTGCTGTTGTGTATATGGGCACAGCCTGTTGTGTGTGTATGAATACAGCCTACTGTTGTGTGTATAAATACAGCCTGCTGTTGTGTATATGGGTACAGCCTGTTGTGTGTGTATGAATACAGCCTGCTGTTGTGTATATGGGTACAGCCTGCTGTTGTGTGTATGAATACAGCCTGCTGTTGTGTGTATGAATACAGCCTGCTGTTGTGTATATGGGTACAGCCTGTTTTGTGTGTATGAATACAGCCTGCTGTTGTGTGTATGACAACAGCCTGCTGTTGTGTATATGAATACAGCCTGCTGTTGTGTAGAGTACAGCCTGCTGTTGTGTAGAGTACAGCCTGCTGTTGTGTAGAGTACAGCCTGTTGTGTTTGAATACAGCCTGCTGTCGTGTAGAGTACAGCCTGCTGTTGTGTGTGTGAATACAGCCTGCTGTTGTGTAGAGTACAGCCTGCTGTTGTGTTGAGTACACCCTGCTGTTGTGTAGAGTACAGCCTGCTGTTGTGTATGAATACAGCCTGCTGTTGTGTGTTTGAACACAGCCTGCTGTTGTGTAGAGTACAGCCTGCTGTTGTGTGTGTGAATACAGCCTGCTGTTGTGTACCCCACAGATCATGCTAGCCAGCTTGGGAGATTTGAACCGCTCCATCGAGGTCCTAGACGAGATGAACAAGTGCCCCATCAAGAAGCCGACCCTGATCAGCTTCTGCTTCAGCCACGTCATCCAGGACGGGGTGGACAAGATCTGGATGGGCCAGGACAGGAACGTGCTGCGTGCTCACGATGTCTTGATCGCACGGGCCAAGGTGAGATGTGGGGGGGGGGGGGGGTCAAGGTCGCGGGTCTACCTTCATGCAATCGTGTTTCTTCTTAACAGCGAAGCTTATTAGCGTTCTACATTAATTACTTTATTGTATTTCAGAGTTGTGGCGAAAAAATTTGATTGTTCTAGAATGTGGTGACAAGAAAAAAATTGATTGTTGTATAGTGTCGTAACAAGATAAAATGTAATTGTTCTGTAGATTTGTATAAGACCTTGCTGTATTGTTTTAAAATGTAGTTTCAAGAGCAAATGTGATTGTGATAATGATATGGAGTCAACATTTGATTGTTCTATACTTGTAAAAAGCTGAAACATAATTATATTATTTTAGAGATTTCACTAGCATAAAAATTGATTGTTCTATAGCTGGTAACAAGCTTAAAACTTGATTGTTCTATAGCTGGTAACAAGCTGAAATTTGATTGTTCTTATAGCTGGTAACAAGCTTAAAACTTGATTGTTCTACAGAGCTGCAGTGTGGCGTCCATGGGCCAGTGTCAAGAACAGAATTGTTCCATGTTCATCAGCAACATATCCAGATACTGAGAGGGGGGGGGGGGGAGGAGGTGGATGACGTCATCAGCAACATATCCAGATACTGAGAGGTGGGGGGTATGGTGTCGATTGGTGACGTCATCAGCAACATATCCAGATACTGAAGGGGGAGGTGTCGGTGTCGGTGGATGAAGACATAAGCAGCTTATTCAGATACTTAGGTGGTGGGCCCATGACGTCATCAGCAACATATCCAGATAGTTTGGATAACGTCAACAGCAACACTTACCATGGGGTGGTCAGCATTGGGTCTACAGTCCGGCAGTGGTCAAACAAATTTTGGTAAAGTGATGTGATCAAGCCGTGCACCACCAATAAGTCAAGCACACACAGTCACGTGTTTTTTTCAGTCATTTCTCAGTGACTTGCCCCAAATGACTTGATCGATTTCCGTGTTAGTTAGTTCTGTGTTAGTGTCAACTTAATGAATTGGTCAACTGAATTGGTCAGCTGTAGTGCGATGATCTTGCTGTTGCCTATGTTTAAACTATTGATACAGTATACCACTAGAAGGTTGCTGTCGTCCACTGTCTATCAATGGTACCAATAAATAAATGTTCAGTCATCACCTCGTTGTTTTTTATTTACATTTTATCCTGGCCTGTAAAGGCGGAGTCTGAATATCTGGGCTAGGTGGGAATGTATGGCCAATGGCCCGTTTGTTACTCGTATGTCTTTTTATATGGCCAGTAACCAGTCTTATTGTTTGTTGTACGTAGTTATATGGCGAACAGTTTATTTCTTGTATGTGTCTTTATATGGCCAGTAGACAATCTGTATTTTGTATGTGTTTTATATGACCAAAGCCCAAATCTATATCGTATATGTGCTTTAAATGGCCAACAGTATCATTATATTTCTTGTGTTAATATAGCCAAAGCCCTTTGTTTTCAAGTGTGTTAATATAGCCAATAGTCTATTCCTCGTATGTGTGGTAATATAGCCAATAGCATATTCCTCCTACGTGTGTTAATATAGCCCATAGCCTATTTCTCGTATGTGTGTTAATATAACAAATAGCATATTCCTCGTATGTGTGTTGAAATGGCCAATAGCCAAAATCTACAGCATATTCCTCGTATGTGTGTTAACATGGCCAATAGCCACAATCTGTAGCATATTCTTCGTACGTGTGTTAATATAGCCAATAGCCTATTCTTCCTATGTGTGTTGAAATGGCCAACAACCAGTCTATTCTAACAAGTTGTGTTTAGCAAGACTCCCCTCCAAAACGCCTCCACTGGGAAAACCCCCTTTTCTCGCCTTGAGAAAACATTTTAATAAGCCAGATGTCCCGTCGTACCCCGCGCCGAAGCTGTAACAGGAAGAATAGACCGCACTAGGAAACCGCGATCTCGGGGCAACCTCAGCCCCCTTTCAAGTTTTGTCCTCTCCCCCCATGCGGCCGTGTACCATTCGCCGGCCGCGGTGTTGGCGACTAAACAAGTCTCTTTCATCGATTAACCTACACGACAGCGATCGTCTTTAACTCTACTGCCCCCACACAAATGGACCCCTTTAATGATCTGACCCCGGAATTCAAAGTCGTGAATTAAGACCCCGGGTATGTCCTCAGCGAACCCTAAACGGGACGACATTTTGACACGAGTTTTTATTTTTTTTATTTTTTATTTTAAAAAGTTCTTTCATTTGGCTAAACTCCCCTTCGAGGCGAGCTTGCAAGCAGAAAACGTCATTGAGCTTAGCCCCAGAAAACGGGAGGCTGTTGTTCCACTTGTCACGTACATAGACTGGTACACTGACAAATGTAGAAATGATCGCTTCGCCCGTGAATGCATCTTACCCCCCCCCCCCCCCACTCCCCATTCCTGACTCCACCGTCGAAGCGGGCGGCGGGTTGTCAGCCGAGGCGTTGAAGGCAGACGTCAACAGTAGCGCGGCCGGTCGTGGTGGGGTGGGGGGGGGGGTTGCTTGTAGCGCAGTCAGGAGGATTTTATCCGGCACCTATGCTTGGCTAGAGACGGCCAATTAAAGCGGGAACTAAGTGTATGGTAATTAAGGGCAGAAGTAGAGTTTGCGTGTAGTTATAACCGGGGCTAAAGGGGGGGGGGGGGGGTGTTTTCATTATAAAAATAAAATATAATTTAGTAGAAAATGAGGTAAAATAGTTTAGGAAATATAAACTTGTGATTATTATCTTAGATTAGTGAAATGGTGTTCTGCGTGGTGTTCTAAAAGTCTTATGCAAGGATAGATGTATTTTACAAAATTCACGGGGATTCGAAACTACTGCGCCACTGCGCAGCTTAGAGGCAACACTGCCTGTGAACCGGACTCAGGGGATATCAATTGTGCCTCGACCACGCTTAAGTGTAGTGATGGCGCATAGAGTTGTAACAACAGCATTTGTATTCCGGCTTTGAGGTACTCGTTTGTATGAAGCAAAAAATAAAAATTAAAAATCCCATTCTATTTTTAGAACCCTTTGCTACCAGACCCCCGGGTAAACGGATACCCACAAAACATATGCCCGGGCCGTGCATCGCCCGGGCCCCCACGGTATCGCTTGCAGGTAATTGGAAGGGCCGCCCGTCCCCCCGTCCACGGGAAAACCATTTTTCAGCACTTTTAGGCTCATCCTGGCCTAATCCGCGCCGGCGGTTTCCGGCGCTGCAACAACAATGCGGATTGGTTAACGTTACACGGGGCTCACCGCGGGAGCCAATGATAGACGCGATAACAACCGAGGTGGGAGGAACCAGCTAATCCGATCGTTTCATATTCATCAGATTCCCCGCTGGTGAGATCTTTTGAAAAATGTGTTTAAGACAATGCCATCTTCAAGTCACGGTAATGCTGAAGGGGGATAACTGGAAAACAATGACCCACACTAGTTAGAGTTATTTCCTCCTTTTTGGGTAAACAGCCGTTCGTGTCCGTGAAATATAATGACGCCATCTTTTTGTTCAGCAAAAAACGTATTTCCGGTTGGGTGTCGGAGGCAGAAAATGCGGAAGTGTGGGTTTTTTGTGTATTGTGTTTAATGTAAAACGTTAACATTGTAAATGTATCGTGTTTTTGTGGGTTCGTGGAAGTAGAAAATAATAAAAGCCATTCATAGGGGTGGCAGATATAGAGGAAATGTACAAGGTGATGTGGGGGGGGGGGGTGGCAGGTATGGAGGAAATGTGCAAGGTGGGGGTGGCAAGTATGGTGGAAGTGTACAAGGTGATGTGTGTGGGGGGGGGGGGGGTGACAGGTATGGAGGAAGTGTAAAATGTGATGTGGGGTGGCAGGTATAAAGGAAGTGTACAAGGTGGTGTGGGGGGGGGGGATGATAGGTATGGAGGAAATGTGCAAGGTGGTGTGGGGGTGGCAGGTATAAAGGAAGTGTACAAGGTGGTGTGGGGGGGGGGGGGATGATAGGTATGGGGGAAATGTGCAAGGTGGTGTGGGGGTGGCAGGTATAAAGGAAGTGTACAAGGTGGTGTGGGGGGATGATAGGTATGGGGGAAATGTGCAAGGTGGTGTGGGGGTGGCAGGTATAAAGGAAGTGTACAAGGTGGTGTGGGGGGGGGGGGGTGACAGGTATGGAGGAAGTGTAAAATGTGATGTGGGGTGGCAGGTATAAAGGAAGTGTACAAGGTGGTGTGGGGGGGGATGATAGGTATGGAGGAAATGTGCAAGGTGGTGTGGGGGGTGGCAGGTATAAAGGAAGTGTACAAGGTGGTGTGGGGGGGATGATAGGTATGGGGGAAATGTGCAAGGTGGTGTGGGGGGTGGCAGGTATAAAGGAAGTGTACAAGGTGGTGTGGGGGGGGGGGTGATAGGTATGGAGGAAATGTCCAAGGTGGTGTGTGGGGGGGGGGATGGCAGGTATGGAGGAAATTTATCGAGGATCTTCACTTACTTCACTAAGTGACGTATTGTTTTTTTTTTAATTGATCAAGACAATACAAAAACAGAACAAAAGCCCAGCCCCGTTCTATTTTTAACAACACACCGAATAAATGGCCAACATTTTGCCATACCTTTTGTTAACACATCACCTACATTACCTCCATTTTTTTAAAAAAAATATGTTTTTGCACCTGTCAACCTGAGCATGGTGACACCCCTAGCACGTGACACTCCTGGCAGCTAATTACAGCCGTGCCCCCCCCCCAACCCCTTCTCTATCTCGTCATTTATTACTCACTTCGCCTAATGTATTCCTTAATCCCAACCTTCAGCTTTTGTCGTCTCCGATTTACAATTAGCAGGCTACAATATAAAAAAAAATAAAAAAAGCTACCGAATGTAAGGTTAGCCACAATGCTACAAATTGAATATGTAAATACCTACTCGCCACGAGGTATGACATCTGATAAACTGAGTTATCTCCTTTTAATCTAGATTAACGTTTCGTTGTCTCCCTTTATTTTTTCCCCCCTTCTTGATTTCCGCTTTTTTTTTCTTCAGGTTTTATTTTGACAAGTGGTGACACCGTGGGAAAATGAGTTTTATTGCGGGCCATTGATTGTGGTCTACTTGATTGGGGTGTAAGGGGTGTGAGAGAGGAAAGAGGGGGGGGGGGGGGGGGGTGACACTGCTTATCAGGCCTATCGATTTTTTCAAAACGGATTTTTTAAACCAATGTTTTATGTGTTCAGAGCTGATAGGATCGCAGTGAAGCCGCGGTGAAAACCGGGATGATGAACAAGGGGACGAGATTGAATTGTTTTAGTTTGAATTTGCAAGTGCCTTTTTGTATTTAGAAAAAAAAAAGAAATCAAGGGAAATAATTAACATATTGTAATGAGTTAGGGGCAATAACTGTATCAATATTTAAATATTTTATCTTAAACAAATTGACAAGAAAAGACAAACGTGAATAAAATTTACAGTTAAGGATAAAAGTGTAACATATATTTTGTTTTGAAATACTTGCACTGGTTATCAAAAAGATCTATCAGTATTAGATAAATATATTAGCTTATATGTGTTGTTATGAAAATAAAACAATAATTCCCAGGTCTCAACAACAGTAGATCATAAGCTAGCAA